CCAAAATGTGCTGTGGTTAAACCATTTTGATTCCTCTTTGGTCAAAACAAACACATCACACTGTGCTTTCAAACTCCAATAAAATAAACAGCTCTGTTTATATACACACTGCACTGGACAGAAGCTTCACTTCTCAAATAAGACTGACAACTTTAAAATGTGATAACAGAATTTCCATTTATTGTTGTATAGAATGTTGAGTGGAAAATTAACAAGGCATATATATACAGTGTTGTATCACAAAACCGAAGCACTATGTACCAATCAAGATGTGACGCTAGTGAAACAGCTTTCCCTAGTTTGATTTAAACAAGATATTTAAAAACAGAAGCACATTAGTAGAATTTAAATATATTAAACTCTATTAAATCATAGGTCAGTATGTATATTGAGGTCAAACTCCTAAATGCAAATGCATCACCAAAAATCAATTTCTCCTACCCTCAGCTACATTATCTTCCATTTTAGTAACGGATCAACAACGGATTGGACTTAAGACATTCCTTTTTGATAAAGCTTATAGTTAGGGCTGGATCAGGTGACCCTGAGCCTTCCCTTAGTTATGATGCTATAGGCCTAGGCTGCTGGGGGGCCCGATAACAGTAAACTTCCTCTCCTCTCTCCATGCACCTACAGTATATACCACCATTACACATCACTAACTTTGTGTCTCCTCTCTCCCGTAGTGTGTCCTCTCTCTCTCTCTGTACCTTTCTGCAGGTAGCCCTGGCTCTTCTTCCATTTAAAGGAAGTTCTTCCTTTGCTGTCGCCAAGTGCTTGCTTAAAGGGGTTTTGTTGGGTTTAACTTCTATAATAATAATAATAATAAAAGTAAGGTCTAGACCTTACTTTGTAAAGTGTCCTGAGACAACTTTTGTTGTGATTTGGCACTATACAAATTGAATTAAATTGAATCATCTGATCACAGTTAACACTAAAATAGTCAAAACGTATCATGGAAGACTGTGAAAAGCAAACTTAGCATATTAATTACGCACCAGTAATTCCAGCAAAACTATACAGAGGTTGCAGCAGTGAATGCCTGCAACACGAGATTGTGTATAATATTTTAAAAAGGCTGCAGAGGCTGAGACTGGCGTTTCCCTTTCTGAGCCACTCGGTACAAATTAGTAGCAGAAATCCCATCTCAAAGCTCACATTCACAGTCTGGGGACACACGTCCGTGCACTCAAGCATCAAAGCAGTCTTAGTGAGGCCGACTACTGGGCTCCAGCAGGACTCTCTTTCCTGTGGGATTAGCTACTCCGTTCTGTAGGTCACCTTGCTCAGAAATGGCCCGTTTCAAGCTCCGCCCCTGGCCGTTGATGGACCCACGCTGCCATTTGCAGATGTCTCCGCTCAGAATGTCTTGGATGTGCTGCACGATGAGGTTGATGGCCACTGGTAATAGACAGACGAAGAATATGTCAAGCATTCATAATATTGGCGAAAATCGCACATCACTATGAGAAAAACCACGTACCCATATTGTCAACTCCCCTTGGAATGATTACATCTGCATACTTCTTTGTCTGGAAAAGAAAAACAAAACTTAAAAATACTGTGAAATGATGATAACAGTAAACTGGAAAACAGGAACATAATCAATGATGACATCATACTTACAGGTAAACAAAACTCCTCAAATGCAGGCTTGACAAACGTTGTATACTGAGTAAGAATTTGCTCCAGGTCTCTCCCTCTCTTCATGTCTCGCAGGACTACAAAATAATTCACATCACTGTAGCACTGCAACAACATTTGAAATATTGTGTGTGTAAAGGATACATCAGTACCTCTGCGAGACAGTCTGACATCAGAATCTGTGTCGACGAAGAGTTTCATGTGAAACATGTCACGCACTTTCTGGGGGTAGAAGACCAGGATGCCCTCAAAGAGGACAACATCTGCTGGGTAAACTGTGATCCTGTCTTCCAACCTATAAACACAGAGTTCGCATATAACGGCACTGCAATCTGAGATGGAGGATTTCTCATTAGAACTTAATCAATGTAAACTCTTCCTTCGTACCTGGAATGGGTGACAAAGTCATATGTTGGCACTTCAACTGCCCTTCCCTCCACAATGTCCTTCAAGGTTTTGTACATTAATTCGTTATCAAATGCCTCTGCAAGACATGAAATTTGATAGATCATGCAGATAATGTATCATGTAACTTCATATACTGTGTAAGAGGGCCAGCAGAATCAGCTGATACAGTCTTGCCTCACATGCCAGCAGTGTCTTTTAATGCTTCTTCAGCAACAGAATATTTACCTAATAAATGCCTTATGAAATAATTTGCCCATTTTAGAATTGATGTTGGTTGAACAATAAATGTGGGGAAAATACTGATATTGTTATAACTGAAACATATCAATACACTAATATATGTACTGACCTTAGAATAGACTGTGGTTGTAACTAACAGTTATTTATTGATTAATGACTAAAACGAATAACTGATGTTAATTTTCTGTCATCAATCATTGCAATTCTACCTGGGTGATCAAAGTTGTACTGGCCCTTCAGCGCCTTTGCCTCCTGTTCTGTAGTCAGCACTTTGTAGAAGCTATCCTGGCTTATAATCGCCACCTTCCTCTGACGGTGGTCCACCTTGTTCTGGCCCAGGAGCTCCATGATCTTGGCACAAACTGTTGACTGTGGCAGAAAACGTATTTCACTCAACTACTAGCATTTTTAATCTATCATAATGCCTTGTTAGGTTAAACTGGCAAAACCAAACTGAAATTAACCTCGTGTCCTGAGGACTAGAGTGGTACCAAAGTCCGTGAGGTGTGAACTGTAGTGCAGTATTATAGTGTGTATCAGTTAATTTAGCCGTATGAAGCCCTAGCGCTAAAAGTTTCAAAGAAGTGATGGCAAACAGTAAAGATCAATGGCAGAAATGTGAAATAATTTAATGATAAATATTCACTGAACAAGGGCGGGCCAGCTGTTTTATGATAGCTCATGATGGCCTTGCGAGTAAATTAAGCTAAGCTAGTCAGGATGCTAACTTATAGTCAGAGGGAAATCCTCCGCCTGAAAAATAACTGACCTTGCCGCTAGCGGTTCCTCCGCTGACTCCGATTAGGAAGGGATTGTGCCGTGGATTGTCTGCCTCGTCTAGATCCCCGAAGGTTTCCATTGCAGTCCAACAAAGACTGCAGAAATCTAAATAGCTTCAGTCTGTACCTGCTAGAGTAACAACAACGTGCTGTTCTCGCGAGATCTAACAATCTTTCAATTCAAAATGCTGCATCCACGTAAAATATGGCAAATTCTAAGACACATTTACCTACATAGCGTAATTTACATATATAATATAAAGTATCTGAATACTTTCGGTAGAAGTTGGAAAATTTCAATAGGAATGATATGAAATGAATACATGTTTCACTGAATACGTTTCATTTGCAATCAGAGGGAATTATTAGTTCCTGTAGTGCAGTCCCTGGTGTCAATAAATTCCCAATTCCATGCTTAGAATGCAAATGGAAACAAAAACATCAAAAATAAAAATACTTTTATTACACCATCAGATTTAAATATAATACAGTTAACACACTTATATTGTTGTTATAAGCATTATTGTTTTTCTGGGCTATTGTCAGATTTTACAGTGTCTTCATCACACTGTAACTTGTCTTTGCTGGATTCATCTATCACCATCTCAAAAGCATCACTTCCTTGAATCCTCTTCACGGTCTCTCCTTTGGCTGCAAGGATTTCCTCGATGTTTCTATGGCATAAAGCAGCACAGGACACGAGTGAATCATAAAATATAATGTACATGCGAGTACTGGTTAAAACAAAGACGCCTAGTTTCTTCAGCTCTGTTAGACATCAGTGCAACCAACCTTTTCCCTTCCAGGTCAGAAAACCAGCCGAGGTTATCAGCGATGATGTGGTGATTCTTACATCCTGGACATGTCACTATCACTACACCTTTGTGATAAGCCAGCTTTGATATCTTCTGCATGGACCTGGTGGAGCAAACCTGCAAACAAGATATAGCCTGCATATCAGTAAACCCGGAGACAAGGGTCAGAACATAAAACAGCGTACAGCATGACAGACAACCTAATTATTTTAGGATTTCAAGATGAAACCTTTACATATAATCGAATCAAAATGAAAACAACGTCGCAACATTGGTTGTAACAGCCTACCTTGCATGTGTAAACTAGATGATAATATGTTGACGGGATCTTCCCAACCGTTTCACTTCTTAAGACTGGAGAATATGAGAATCCTCTATTGCTGCTAAGCCAAGGTTCGCATCTGTCAGTACCTAACAAATCAGAAAAACTACCGTGGTCCTGTGAAGACAGCTGCCCTGTCCTGGCTGCGGTTGTCGGTGGAACTGGAGTGAGACAGTGGAACCCGACACACAGTTTGGACAGAGCTGAACGGCCGTGGTTACACCGAAGCAACCGGGTGGCATTCAGCATCGTTCCCGATTCTTCTTTTTCTTTAGGGTTTACTGACGTATCGTCCCCGCTAAAGTGATGAGCATTACAGAGCAAAACACTTCTGTAAAACCAACATTACCGTCGCTGTACTTAGGAGTTCAGCGATTTCATCAGCGTGTTTTGTCGCGGTTTGATGACATCACGTATATTTATTTTACAATAGTGGTTCTAACAACATGCTAATGATGACATTTCAGTAATTGCGGAAGCATTCAGATTATTTACTTAACTATAAGTGTCAATGCAACTATGTAAAAATACTCCAGTCCTGCTTTCGAAATCCGACTTAAAGTACCACCACAAATGCACATCAAATCTTATTGTTATGACCAGTCTCAAGTTTTCCAAGACAAAGGCAACTTTCAAAAAAAAATTACCCAAGCTCCATCAAAACTAAATAAGATACTAAATGAATCAAGGACAAATGTTCCACTACGGTACATCACTCACATGCACAGACAGGCTTGTTAGCTGTTATGCCTAAGAGATGAGCAGCCAAAGGCAAGACTTGGTGGCTGCCAGTGGGTGTGAAGACGATCTTGCAAAACAATAATCACTTTATTTGCTATGAGGTCACTTGGTAAATCATGGTGCAAAGAAAAAAGTTCCGTTTAAATTTGGGTGAAGTAAACACTGTCAAGAAGTCAAGTAAGTCCTGTGAACCTAACCACCAGAGGGTGATATATAGACTTTCCTCCCAATTATATTAGTCTTTGGTTGTGCACAGACATCTATCATCAACTCCAGTATATTAGTCTTTAGTTGTGCACAGACATCTATCATCAACTCAGTGTTTGCCAAGGCTTTAGACAGAGTAGAAGTAAGGACACATTATGAATTTGTAACAAAACAAATTTCACCATTGTTCTAACTGGATAACTCCAAGGCCGCTGCAGGAATGTACAGCTGAGCTGATTAGAGTTCAGGCAAATGTAGTGAATTGGTGTGTTCCTTAATCAGGCACAGAAAGATGAAGGAAATTTGCTTAAGGAGAACATGTCTGAAACAAGCCTCCCAATGTTGACACAGGTGAGTGGTGAGTATTCATCTTTTACTGGTTTAAAACTAATTGTCACAACCTGAAGAAAATGTCAGCATAGGGTTTACTTGTAGCACCCCTCTTAATAAAAAAAACAGGGCATAATAAATGTTTTTGCTTTATACAAAAACATAATATAGAAAAGACAGAAGGTGGGGTTGTCTACCTTAAAAGGCCCAAATATTGCTGAATTAATATCACACGTATATGTTCAGATTCAAGTTGTGGTTTATTTGCCATGTGCAGGTTAAAGACACACTGAAAAATGTTACACAAGAAGAAAGAGGTCAACTCAGTAGTAAGAATGATAGGTATAAAGTAAAATATAAAATACAGAACACTTACATAGAGCATTATAAGTAATATACAGATTTATGTCTGTGCAGATTCTCAGTCATCCAGGTCATAATAGGTTGAAAAACTTAGAAAAAAATCAACTGGACTAGGTTTCTAGGTCGAAGACGTTTCACCTCTCATCCAAAAGGCTTCTTTAGTTCTGGCTGACTGGTGTTGAGCCGGAGATATTTATCCCCCTCGGTGTGGTTTCAGTCCTTTGAGGGACAACAATGTCCCTTAACGACTGAGTCGTTATAGCCCAGTATCGGTGAGAGTTGTTACCTGTCTTTGAATCCTCCCTTGTGGACCGACGCCTATTGTCCTGGTGGACATGTTTGGGCAGATATCTCAAAACAGGATTGTAGATGCATGTGTCTTAGTCTACCACCCCTATTTACCTATTTAGTGAGGGGTGCTCTATTTTTACAAAAATAGCTTACTTTAATCCTCTCTCGAACCAGTGATGTTCTCTGGAGAGGATCTGGACTTCACTGTTGTTAGGTTATTTCTTAGTTAGATAGATATTCAGAGATTTGTTGTCTAGAAATGTTAGTGGAGACAGGTTGTCTAGCACAGGCTGTTAACCGTTTAGTTGAATGTGCTTGCAGTGCAGACTGCATGTAGGCCAAGGTTGCAGGCAAAGAGCTGTTAGTATCAACTGTAATGCTAGTCTTAATATTTGTCTTAATGTGTAATGTCATGTCAAATTTCTGTGTAGTATGGGGCTAGCCCAACCGAGGTGATATAATGTATAGGCCTGGTGGGTTCAGGGTCTTTCATCTTACATCTGCCTGGGTGCAGTTTGGAGGTGTAAGATACCTGAGTATGTAATGTTAATTTTTACCTGTGTTCATGGAATAAATCAGCACTGTTTTGTAGTTACTTGGACTGTGTCGTCTCTTAGAGTTAGCAATGGTAACAAGAACCAAAGACCAACACTGTCCTCAAAAGAATGTCCTTTGTCCTTCAGGTGGAGGTGGACTGCTAACTCTGGTCCACTGGAGTTGGCCCTCCTGTGGACCAGAGTCAGCCTGCCCAAACATGACATGCTGGTCTGATATTCTGCACAATTAATTATGACAGAAAGTATTAATTTCTTTTCATTTTTGTAATGCTTGGGCGTGCTTTTATTTTGAAAATGCCTACGTGTTAGTACTTCCGGCAGCCTCGTGCAGCAGCATTTCGTTTTCTTGCGAGCGCGAGCCACTGAAGCTGCGCGTTCTTGTGTGTTTCTTGTCCGTGGTTGCCGTTCGGTAGTCCGGCCCAGTCTCTGGCCAGCCTCGGCCGCTCGGAAACCTTAAAGAAATGTGTCTCCCGTGTACTGAAAAGGCGACAGTCACCAACTTTAACAAACCAGGTGGGTGTTATTGCTCTATTCTGTGGTTCGGCCGTCGGTGTGAGACATTGTTTCCCATCGCCTCTCAATGTCTTTGGGTTTTGAACTGTTGGTCAGACGAAACAAGACATTTGAAGAGATCTTCTTAGTATGTGGGAAATAAAAGCAGGCAGATAATTTGATTAATGTAAAAAAATGAATCAACAGAATAATCGATAATTAAAGTAACTATTAGTGGCGGCCCCATTGTGTTGTCGAGTTCATAGCGAATCTTTAGTTTTTTTTATTGCAGCACAAACGTGTTAGAAAATGTTGCCGTAATTTGTATGTGAGCGATTGAGTGGCTGGTGTGGTGTTTGTATTATGTCCGCGTAAAAGCTTTTATCACATTATTGGTGTATTTTGTGGTAATGTGGAAATCTGACTGTGCATTATTGGTCTTTTAACCAGTCACATTGAAGCTAGGCACATCAGTTAAGTTATATCATCAACGTGTTTTTTCTTTTCAGACTGGTTTTAAATGGGCTTTGTCTCAGATGGGTATTGTGAATGTGTGTGGTATTGTTTTTCTATACTTGTAGAGACTCAATACCGGGAGCCCACCCACATTGTGGGGACTGGGCCTTCCTGGTGGCAAACAGATGCTGGTTCCCACTGTGTAAATCATTGAATTTTAGGTTGGATTAAGGGTTAAGGTTGGGCACGTAATGGTTATGGGTAATTTTAGGGTTAGTCAGCCAACACTGCCTTGCTTATCTCAGTCACTTAATGCCTCTAGTCTGCCATTGCCAGGGCTGGATAGATGGGCTGAGATCTGTTTCGCACAGGCAGTCCATCAAAAAGTATTTTGTTTTCAAGGTACAGGGAACATCTCATGATTTCAGGATCTCTGGATGTCAGTGATCTCTTTATCAGCTGGCAAGAATATGATCCTGAACTCTTTATATCTACAGGTGACTACAGTTTTTAACATCCACACCTCAGAAAATACACCCAGTCAGAATGGGCTTCAATTAAACCCAGAAACAGGCAGATGAAGGAAAATTAGAGTGAAAGGTTATTTGTGCAGAAGAAATCTTGTATTCAGGAGTGTAGAGTCCTGGATGCATCAACATGAATTGTAAAATCGTATTGAAGCAGATACTGACCTTATGAAGCAGATCAGATTTTGCCAAGATGTAATCAAACCATGAGAGTTTCTTCACTGATGTCAATATAAAATTCAGTCTTTGAGCTGTCAGTTTTAGTGATGGATAGATTACTGAATGGGCCTACTAGTCGAAAACCCAGGAGTCCAAGGGGTCAGGAGCCACTGGTCCTCGCCTGCAGAATATCCCAGAATAAGATACAAAATCAGTGGTGGAACGTAACTAAGTTACATTTACTTAAGTACAATTGTGAGGTATCTGTACTTGAATATTTCCAAAGAGATGCAAGTTCCTCAAAGATATACAAAATTATCAAAAAGAGATATGAAATGACCACCAAGAGACACAAAAGGATTGCAAACAGTTGCAACACTTTTACAAAGAGATGCAAACCACACGAAGACACACAAAATGACCACAAACACAAATGGGTAGAGAGAGAGAGAGAGAAAGCTGGAGGCGAGCATCTCTTTCACTTGTCTGATTTGTAAGATTGTGATATCTTTACATTATTTACTCTAAGGATACAAATAACTTTAGTTTTCTGTTGGCTAAGTGAGTAATTGAATAAAAAATGCTGATCAGAGTTTTCTATAACATAATGTGATGTCTTCAAATGTCCTCTTTTGTCCAGCCAGCAGTCCAGACCTATTAAGAATCAGAATCTGCTTTACTGGCCAGGTGTGTCGGACACATGAGGAATTTGACTTGTGTACATCGGCTCTCAATGTGCATGTACATATCACCATGCAAGGGGCAAGTAAACAGTAAACCAGCATAAGGTTGTGTAATATAACAGAAATAATAAGCAGTATTAACAAGCAACAACCAGGGTAAACAATGCAAAATAAGCAGTATAAACAGGCAGTAAACAATGCAGACAGACAAGGAATGCTCATTGTGAAATGAGATAAGTAGGAATAAGATTAGAGTACTTAAAAATAGAGACCTGTACCAATCTGTATGAGATATATTTAAAGGTATTGCACTGAGGGTTATTGTGCAATCATACTGCCGTTGGTTAAGTGTTCATCAGAGTGATGTCCTGAGGGGAGAAACACTAACCTAAACAATTAACCTGAATAGTTTCTGGTTGATTTCGTGTCAGTGGACTAATCATCAACTCTCTTGCGCACCCATCACAAACTGATTTTCAATATGAGATGGCCAGAAACTTTTGTGATGCCATCTTAAACCTTAAATCTTACCTGTAGTCCAGTATGTGTCGAGCAATAATCATATCCTGCCTGCTTTTGACACAACACTGAGATCTGATACTATGGTGTCAACTACTGACAGCTTTTGAAAGAATTCCCCAAACGTATCATCCCTTAATTCACCTATTCATGAATAGTGTGTGCACCAGTAGGACTTTGAAGCTCCCTTGGGTATATCTAGTACTTAGATACAAATTTGTGAGGTCATTGCAGAGAGAATATTGACAGATGTACCAAACACTAAAAGCACATATTATTCTAATGGAATGTAATAAATGCCAGGGTCTTCTTTAAATGATGGTAATTCTGGACTTCATCCATCTTTCCATCCATAAATTCATCTATTTTCTAAACCATTTAAATTTTTCTGGGTTGCTGGCTCTTTTCCCAGCCTGGACGGGGCACAGTGCATTGTGCACATTATTTATGTTTGTTGATTCTGGTTGTAACTTTTTAGTAATTCAGTTAAACAAAGTCAACCTCTGACTTCATGTTCTTTTCAGAGGAGATGGTAGAGTATACTCTGCAAAAAGATGTATCAGTCAGGATGTTTTTCAGTTTGTAGCTTCAGTTGAGGGACGCTGATGTCCTTGAGGGAAATTGTATTTGGCCCTGTAATATAGTATATTGGCTCTCACAGTGGCCAGGTTTACATGCACCTTTCTCACCCCATGTGTCAGGGCCTCATGAACACAAAATGCCTACACAAAAGCATATCTGTTCAGGGAACAAATTCAGGAGAAATGTACTGGGTACAGCTATAAACAGGAAGCCAACAGCACAGTCGTTATATAATCCAGTCGTGACCTTTTCTTCTTTAATCCAGTTTTATTTTTGGGTTTTGGACAACATATTCCTCCACTATTTTTGGTGTCGAGAGTTACCAGATAGCATTAGTTCATCAGAGGAGAAGTCCTTGGTTGAAATTGTGGAGGGGCGGTTTGGGAAGATGTGCAGTGTGAAGATAAGCTAGTGTTTATTTTTCTGTGGCCTAATAAAGTGTCAGAGGTTTTATGTTCTCTTCAAGTAAAGTCAGTGAGACTGGTGGATCAGTTGAACAATAGGCTCAATGGGCTAGGATGAAGGTTATTCTAGTGAAATGGAGTATTTCAATTGTTAAGGGTGTGCGTTCTAGTAAACTGGAGGCAGTTCCACCAGTGTTGCAGAAGCCAGTTAAAAGTTTAGGTAGGTGGTATGATGCAGCTCATAGTGATAAAGCCTGAGACAGCAGGTAGTGGATAGCATTAAGAGTCCAGAGACATTGAGACAGACAAACTCAGACTGTGGAGCATGTAATGTGCTCTGCTGTCACAACTGTTGTGGCCCCTAAAGTTAGCAAGAATGTTTAGTGCCACATTAGAAAGTGGCTGGCAAGCCCCATGCTGCCTCAGCAGTGTGGCCCTGTATAGAAAGGATATTTTGGAGCTCTGTCTAGCAGCTTGACAGGAGTTCAGATGTGCAAAAAGCAAGGCTGGAGATGACGCCCTCAGTCTAGGGATGTAGCAGAGCAGAGTACAGCGCCAGCAGTCTTAACAGGAAGGAAGTGGACCCCAGGGGATGCAGTTTTATAAGCTCTTAAACACAGTTACATTGTAGGGAATGTTCAGCATAGATGGGGTGAGTTTGGTCCAAGCATATCACAGTGCATGGAGCCAAGCAACATCAGCTGACAGAAGGAAACTGGTTGCTGTGGCATTCACATGCAAATGCCATTTAAATCAGTGTGGTCAGCCATGACTGCATAGCTGAAGCAAATACAATGTGGATATAAGGCTGGGTCAAGCTGATGGGTGTTTGCTGTTTGCCTGGGAGAGGGTACAGCTAAAAGCAACTCTAAAAGTAGGTTAAGTCAGTTTAGAGGTACTGTAGGTTAGGGCTAGAGAATGACGTGTCATGGGGCTGAGCACGTTTATGATGGCATGGCCTGATACTCATTGTGGGGTCCAGTGATAACATGAATATTGGGGTTTCCATAAGCATGCTCCCCCAGCTTTTGGTAGGTTTAACTGTGTATTGAATTATGTCACACTAGGACGGAAATGTATTTTTTATATTCTGGACGGAAGAGTGAAGCTCTTCAGAAATTTGAAGCTTTATTTTAAGTCATGTAACATGAATCTTTATACAGTTTATGTGACCTCAGTGCAGTCATGTGATAGGCCATTACTGCTTCAGGTTTTTCTGCCATCTGTGCTTGGTACCAGAAAACAGAGAAAGTGAGTCTGTTGTAAAACCATAATTTCCTATTGTCAAACCTTCAGCCTAAACCTATTTACTATAGGGGCTGTTCTTTTTTTGTGTGTTACCCTACATTAGAATGGAAGCTGCATTAGTGTCAGAGCATGGGTGTTGTTATTTATACCATGTGAGTGATCATAATAGGATGTGTGTGGAGCTGCTGGTGTGTCTGTGTGCCGTACTGTGTGAGCTGAGGTACAACAGTGACCTAACAGAGAAGTCCCACGGTGCCTGTACTGCACTTCTGGTTTGAACTGGATAAAACAATGGTTTTTTGTTACCACTTGACCAGCTATCCTCTTTCAGCCTTTTCCTGTAAGCAAGGGGTACATTGACTGGACAGGGAGATACACTTCTGGAGAGTTTTTTTTAATCAACTCCTCCAAACTTTGTGTTTAAATTGAAAACACAAGTGATAAGACTGTAATATTTGAATATTCTCTTACAATATTGGGTTTGACCATACAGTATTGTGTTTCTATTCAATGTGACAGCTTGGTCCAGTGTTAACATTAAACTCTGACACAGTTTGAGCAGAAAAAAACTGCCAAGACAGCTATATTTCTTGCATTACCCGCACATTTACTGTGTGAGGAAATAGCTTCATTGTGGTTTGACAGATATACTCAAATGCAAATGGATGCCTGTGTTGTACCCGGTACTTTTTACCATACTAACTCTGAGAGTCGAGACAGTCCAAGTAACTACAAAACAGTGCTGATTTATTCCATGAACATAGGTAAAAATTAACATTACATACTCAGGTATCTTACACCTCCAAACTGCTCGCAGGCAGATGTAAGATGAAGGACCCTGAACCCACCAGGCCTATACATTATATCACCTCGGTTGGGCTAGCCCCATACTACACAGAAACGTCAACCGAGACGTCTCTGGTGCCAGCTTTGCAGCTGGTCATAGCAGTAGTCAAAACATGAAGCAAATCAATGTGTGTGTCTGTTGATTAAGTGGTGTGTAGCTAAAAACATTCTCACACGACCTCTAGTAACATGTCATGATATTAAACATAAGAACATATTATGGCTAAGGCTACAGTTATACACGTCATAATAATAATATTAAACATCCTGTCTGCTGACAGTCATCAACTCTTCTCTCTAGTTATCCTTGACCAGATGTACCCTGTAGAAACTCATAAGCAGGCCTAAGCATTTAACAGTCTAACTAGACATCCTATCTCCACTAAACATTTCTAATACATAAAGTATCTATCCAATTTCTATCTGACTAAAAATACCTAACACCTGGGAGTCTTTCGATCTTGAGGTTTATTGGTTATTTGCTCAGTAGTGCTGTCTCACTTGGTTTTCCTTCCATTTTGCTGAGAGTTTAAGTCAAAGCTCAAGTTGTTTGACATAATTTTATTTACGGTTCATTGTGATAATTTTTTCTGCAAGTAGTGACAACAACCCACTGGACAAAGACATTTATCAAGAAATTAGAATGCATGTCATTGTCTTCTTTTGAGATGTGCGAATGTGATCTGACTTACTTCTAAAGAATAAACTGCTTCTAAAGACTGCTAAAGTTTCAGTGTGCTGTGAACATGTTCATGCAGAGAAATCGCTGAACACCAGGACAACTGGAGAAACATGGACTTGTTTGAACAGGCATGCTGTGTCAGGGTCTGTGGTCCCTTCATGCTTGTTTACTCTGCTATACATGAAGTGCAGCGTGCTGTTGGCACATGTGTGACATCCAGAATATCCCTGACACATATACAGTGATGTTCTTTATGTGCTACCTGCTTGACCTTCACACTTGGCCTTTAATATGCTGACTGGACTGCATGTATGATAATAAATTAATTAGAAATCATTGGTTAACAATATATAAGACTTGTTGATTCGAACCAGAACTTAGAAAGATTTGTGTGAGATTCTGTGCATTCTTAAATAGGCGTGCATGATGTTCTGCAAACCACTGTATACTGATACTGAGTAAGGAGTTATTTCTCACAGTGTAAGAAACTCAAGACTTGGCAAGTTTAAACCTGACTTCCTTCTAAATCCTCTGCATGAGATATATACAATGACCAAAAAGGGGAATTTGTTTCTACTTGGATAAGAAATGGTGATGGTAATATGTTATTAATTTGTAGGTAGTCAGAGGTAACTAAAATAACTATAAACATATGAACTCTACAGTACGAAGTGTGATGTGATTCTTTACAAAATGTAGTTGTACACAAAGAGACTGATTTTAATTAATTAAATGAAATTTAATGTCTTCAATTTTATTTCAGCCTCAACATACAACAGTGTTTTCAAATGTTAAGTAACGTTTTGATTTGCTAAAATTCTAAAGTAAGCACAAATGTTTTTAAAATAGTTATTCTGTCTTAAATTTCACGTCACCAACTCATTTTCTGTTTTTTTTTGTTTTGTTTTTTTCTGTTTTTTTTTAGATAAACCATCATGATTCCCATCACAGAGCTCCGGTACTTTGCTGACACCCAGCCAGCGTACCGTATCCTGAAGCCATGGTGGGACGTTTTCACCGACTACATCTCAATCGTCATGCTGATGATTGCAGTGTTTGGTGGTACATTGCAGGTCACACAAGACAAGATGATCTGCCTGCCCTGCAAGTGGGTGATCAATAAGTCATGTGAGACCATGCCCATCCCAAACATGACCATCCCTTATGCACCAGAGCCCAAAGGTATCCAGTATGATCTCGATCGTCACCAGTATAATTATGTCGATGCTGTCTGCTACGAGAACGAGCTACACTGGTTTGCCAAATATTTCCCCTACCTAGTGCTACTCCACACCCTTATCTTCCTGGCTTGCAGCAATTTCTGGTTCAAGTTCCCCCGCACAAGCTCTAAACTGGAGCACTTTGTCTCCATCCTCCTCAAGTGCTTTGATTCCCCATGGACAACAAGGGCTTTGTCTGAGACTGTGGTGGAGGAGAGAGATCCCAAGCCTCCCGGAAAAATGAATGGTTCCATGGACATAAAATCCTCCTTAGTGAATGAGGATGTTGAGGCTAGCATCCCCATGCTTCAACGAACAAAGTCCAGAATTGAACAGGGAATTGTAGATCGCTCTGAAACAGGGGTTTTAGATAAAAAGGAAGGGGAGCAGGCCAAGGCTCTTTTTGAGAAGGTGAAGAAATTCAGGATCCACGTGGAGGAAGGGGACATAGTCTACCGTATTTACATACGTCAGACCATCATCAAAGCAATCAAGTTTATACTGATAATTATCTACACTGCCTACTATGTGCGCTACATCAGGTTCAGTGTGGTGTGCACGGTGAACATTCAGAAGCTAACAGGGTACAGTATCTTTTATTGTGCTCACCCGTTAGCAACGCTTTTCAAGATTTTGGCCTGTTTCTACATCATATTGGTGGTGGTTTACGGGCTTATCTGCATGTATACTCTGTGTTGGATGCTCAGGCGCTCCCTCAAACGATACTCTTTTGAATCGATCCGAGAGGAGAGCAGCTATAGTGACATCCCTGATTTGAAGAACGACTTTGCCTTCATGTTACACATGATAGATCAGTATGACCCTCTCTACTCTAAACGCTTTGCTGTTTTTCTATCAGAGGTGAGTGAGAACAAGCTGAGGCAGCTGAACCTGAATAATGAGTGGACGTTGGAGAAGTTGAGGCAGCGCATCACCAAGAACTCCCAGGATAAGCTGGAACTGCATCTCTTCATGCTCAGTGGGATCCCAGACACAGTGTTTGATCTGATAGAGCTAGAAGTGCTCAAGCTAGAGCTTATCCCCGATGTAACTATTCCCCCAATCATTGCTCAGCTTTCCAGCCTGAGGGAGATGTGGCTCTATCATACACCAGCTAAAATTGAGGCTCCAGCTCTGGCTTTCCTGAGAGAAAACCTGAAGTCCCTCCACATCAAGTTCACTGACATCAAGGAGATCCCTCTGTGGATCTACAGCCTGAAGAATCTCAGAGAGCTGCATCTAACAGGAAACCTGAGTGCAGAGAACAATCGTTACATTGTCATAGATGGTCTCAGAGAGCTCAAGAGTCTTAAAGTGCTGCGTCTGAAAAGCAACCTGACCAAGCTGCCACAGGTGGTGACGGACGTTGGTGTGCACCTCCAGAAGCTCTCAATAAATAACGAGGGTACCAAGCTGATGGTGCTCAACAGCCTGAAGAAAATGGTCAACCTGACAGAGCTCGAGCTTGTTCGTTGTGATCTTGAGCGCATTCCACACTCGATCTTTAGTTTGCACAACCTGCAGGAGATCGACCTGAAGGACAACAATCTGAAGACGGTAGAGGAAATCATCAGCTTCCAACACCTGCATCGGCTCGTGTGCCTGAAGCTGTGGTACAACCAGATTGCCTACATCCCCATTCAGATCGGAACACTTACCAACCTGGAGAGGCTGTATCTGAACAGGAACAAGATAGAGCAAATCCCCAGCCAGCTGTTCTTCTGTCGCAAGCTGCGCTTCTTAGACCTGAGTCACAACAACCTGACCAGCATCCATGCTGATGTGGGTTTCCTTCAGAACCTGCAGTACTTCGCTGTGACAGCAAACAGGGTGAGAAACAAAAAACAAATCTCTTCAATTTGTCCGGTGCATGTTTTTATTTAATTCATTCCCATTTCCTACTTTCTGGTCTCCAGCTTTCTATCACTCTCTGTCACGTGTGAATAAGATTAGCTCAACAGCCAAATAAGGTATAAGGCATTTATAGTCAGGTCTTTAACTTAAATGTTTAAGTCAGTGTTTACAAATGGTGAGACATTCATCTATATGTTGGAAATGATGGTTTTAAAGATGATGACTGAGATTTTTTTTTACAGCTTTTCAGTTTTATCAATAGAAATTTGTCATTAGAAATTCATGTTTTTCTCCATTTGATGCAAATTCAGGCTACAGGAAGGTTGAAAACACTGATATAATCTTGGTCTGTTTATCTGATGTCCAATGACTGAAATAAAACACTGAGCCATTCAGCGGTGTGTTATAGTACAGTACAGTATAGTCTTGTTCTGTATACAGCAGTCAAATTATGCTGTCAAACATATTTGATAGAAGTCCCTCTGTTTGGAATGAAACAGACTTTTACAGCTTGTCCTTTTATTTTTCTTCCTTCGGGCTATTCAGTAGAAACCATTAGGGATTTCTGAGCTTCATCAAATGTATGCTATAATTACACTATTTTTCTGAGACTACCATGGTACTTTGTGCATGATTTACTCTTTGCCCTTTGCACAGTTTAATTCAGTCTCTCCATTAGAAGGGAAGATGGCTGATCAAAATATGTACATATTTAGGCTGTTGTTTATTTCATTTGCAAAGATTATTAACTTAAGGGTTGTGCCAAACCCTGCCATTACAGGCAGGTGTTTGAATTAGATCTTATGAAAATTCAGTTTGATTTACGTTGTAGGAATTTCATTCAGAAGGAGGCAGTTTGTTAACTGTGAGGAATTTAGTAAAACAACATTCTCCTCAAAAGCATACACACATCATGTGTTTTCAGTAAAGGAAATGATGGCTGCCATTTTACTATGTCTGCTTGTGTGGCTGCACACTGAAAATAGGATTGTGTACAGCCACAAATAGTTCCATTTAATGGGACCATTCTGGCACTTCTTGGGTTTTTAAGGCTCGTCTTGCCTAAGGGGGGCTGGTGACAAATTATCCAATCAAATTAGCTGAGTAATACTGTATCCATGTGTAGAGGTTCTGGGGGGGTGCTGCTTTTCCTGGACATCAATGAATAATACCTGTTTAGAGCTTTAGAGTTTTTAATGGTGTTAATTACAAATAGGACAAGGAGCATACAAAGGCTGCAAGATTACATGGTTAGGTTTTAAATTATTGAAGCATTTTGTCCTTTTTTTTTTTTCCGGTATTCTGAATTAGTTTCGAGACATTAGTCCATAACTGTGACATCAAATGTTGGTTGATATTTAATCTAATTTTGGCTTGTTTCCTCCATATTTTGGTTGCATTACATTTTTGCCTATGTTTCTTAAATACCCTTTGCTCACATCTTGGGTCTTTGTCTCATGTGGCCATGGCATATGGATTAGACATTAACCGGTTCAGTGCTACTTTAACACTGCGCCTTATTCTGCCCTTTATCTCTTATCTCTACCCTTTAGATTGAGACGTTGCCCCCTGAACTGTTCCAGTGCAAGAAGCTCCGCACTCTGAATCTGGGAAACAACTGCCTGCAGTCGCTGCCATCACGCTTCGGAGAACTTACTGGGTTGACCCAGCTGGAGCTGAGAGGGAACCGTCTAGAGTGTCTCCCCGTAGAGCTCGGCGAGTGTCGGCTGTTGAAGAGAAGTGGTCTGGTGGTGGAGGAGGACCTGTTCAACACACTGCCATCAGAAGTCAAAGAACAGCTGTGGAGAGCTGATAAAGAGCAAGCCTGAGGCAGGGCTCAGTGGAGATCTGCAGAGGAAAGAAGTTTGATTTGAGAAATAAACAAGCGGAGTGATTTTGTTTATAAAGCAATGCAAACCCTCAGAGGTTTGCATTGTTGGTTGATGGGGCTTCCGTGACAGGATCCATAAAAGAACTGATGTCAGAATTCAAATCTCCAAGAATGTCTTTCTGGAAATGAGCAGAATCATGGCTGTCAAGGAAAACCTCATAACCACACTTCAATTATGTGACTTTCCTTTATGTTCATTCTAAATAACAAGCTGCAAGGATGCTAGCAGTTGATGTTCAGTATGCATGCCTCTTTTAAGCAAACCAGTTCATTAGAGTAAGCTAAAACACAGTTCAGCTTTGAGCTAAATGTGCTTACTATTGCTACTTTGATGGCCACGGGATACATGCACAACTCAAACATGCTCACGGACCTTCTTCTGGCTTTAAGACTCAAATTTTACCTCTCAACTTTTTTACTGTTAAATTAGCATATTGTGTGACGCAGAATCGCCCCACGTTAGTAGAAAAACAATTCTAGTGCAACTGATGGGCAGTGCGTTGAGGCATGAAGGTTTATCCCTGTTGTCTTAGTAAGTGAGCAAAATGACTCTGTGCTGAAGATCAAAACAATCATCCCACTGGTGAGCTCACAGCTTAGGCCTTAAATAAGATGACTGATGAAATGACAAGCTGCCGGGAACAAACTCTGCAGTACAGAGTCTAAATAGCCTGCAGTCAATAATTTATACGGTCAGCCTGTGTGGCAGGTTTTTTGTCATCTGTGAGGGAGCTGTGAAGCATTCTTCTTTATTTGTCTTCACTTAGCATCATATCTTATTTAGGTGTATGAAAATGGATTTATCTTATTTTTGCATGACTAAAAATCCTGCACATTTCTGTGTCTTAAGGTGTGTGAGCTTCGTGCCAGTATGTCTGAGCTTGTTGAAACAAGGTAAAGAATTTATTCTGACTTCAAGATGCATAAGTTTGTGACCCAACAGTACCACTCGCTGGTATTGTGGTTGGGCCTGTGAATCATACTGCACTGGATTGATTCAAACTTAAGTGAGTGACTGATTCTACCCAGCTATTGATTTGTTGTTTTGTTTAAGAATAGATAGTATTTTAAGCTTATTGCCTGCAGTCCGATCTTAAGTGACCTTTGTTCAGTTGAGGTCTACAAAGTTGCGCGACTCACTAGATTGTAATTACACAGTTTGTAACCTTGCTGACATGATGTTTGTTGTTGCTACGGAGACCCAAGCATTTAGAAAATTCACTGTCACAGTCGACTTTTTTAATCAAACGCATGCAGGCGTGCACAGATGCAACAGACAGATAATATAGACCAATAAAATGATTGAGAATCAAGGTACTTTTAATTCTTGGTATGAGTTTGAGTTATGGGACCTTTGATGGTTATTACAGAAGGCAGTCGTCACAAGGTACCGTCGGTGAAGTGTTGCTGTTGGTGCCTCTCGTGCCCAGCTGTGTTTGCCCTTCTATTTGTCATGGTGAGTTTATTCCAGGGAAAAATGGACATTTGTCAGCGCTTTGTTTATCCATTCATGAGCAAAATCAGGACAAACAGGAAATTACAGAGGGGAAGGAAACCTACACAAGGGAAACATTCACTGTGATTTCCACATCCATGGTCTAAGTTTGTGCAACATGCTTTGTCTGCTTGAAACACTTTTCTTGTTAAGATCTCGGATTTAATTTGGAGTAACTCTGCTATGGTTGCTCAAACCAGGCGTCCTTTACAACCTTGTGCCCTGTTAATAATCACAGTTTTTGTTTTCATGTTGCAAAATACATAGTTCATGTTTAGTGTCTTTATTTCATGTATGTGTTGTTGTTACCAGCTGTTTCTTTTTGCTGCGCATTTTTTAAGAGATTAACAGTGAGTTTTTGTTTCACTGATGCCTTGGCTAAATCCAAATGCCCTTTGAGGAGTCACTTGTAAAGTGCTATCACATAGTCTTAAGTGCAGTCCTGTTGTGTTGAATGGGTTGACTAGCAACTAGTATTAAAGTTTGGAAGAAAAGGTCATAGACAATGGACGGCAGTACAGGGAGGGAGAGAGGCAGTAATTCCAAAGACATCTCAACTTTTGTTTTAAGTTGCACGTCCCCTTTGATATGCTCGTTCTTTTGTGGTGCCAAGTAAGAGCAAAAACTTGTTTTTCATTATATTCCACAGATGGTGACATTGACCTGTTCAATGCCAGAAAACAAATGCAAATAGTCAAGTCACTTAGTAATATATTAACCTGCAAAAATACAGATGGGCGACAAGTTAAAGGAAAAACCTGAATGAACCAATGTACTGCAGATATTTGGACCTTCAGAAAATACTATTCCCCATCTGGGGGTAGAACTCCACCCTGGAACTAAGTTTAGACTCTGGTTCCCCCCCTGTGGAAATGCAGGTAGAAGAGCCAAGTTCCCCAGAAGGTTCCCGTTTCTCCGGGAAAGTTCCCTTGGGAGAATCAGGGCTTTAAAGGGAAGGCTGAGTGATCACCTTTATCCTACAATGAAACATTTCTATCCTGATGGCTTTGTCTAGTGCTTTTCTATGCACAGGAGCTCCTTACACTAATTGTGCACACCCACAATGGTGTTATCACTGGGAGCAATTTGGGTTCAATGTCTTGCCTAAGACATGGACAGGAGAAGCCAGGGACTGACCACCAACCCTTTACCTCCAAAGCTGCAGACAGAGATGGGAGTGGTTTCTCTTTGGATGGCAGTGCCTTCACCCGCAGGGCATGAGGCATCGTGCATGGAAAATGATGCAACTCAAATGCTATGGTCTTTGCAGTGATCTGATCCAGATCTCAGCCTAATTCAACACCTTTGTTAGATTTTGGACATGTTATACAGCAGTCTGCACCACCATCATCAAAACACCAAATGGGGGAATATCTTTTGAAAGAATGGTGTTCATCCCTGTAGCAGAACTCAGAGACTTGGGGAGTCAGTGCCAAGGTGAAGCTGTTCTGGTGGCACATGGTGGCCCAGCACCTTACTGAGACACTTTGTTGGTTTGTCCTTTAATTTGTCACCCGTCTGTATATACCTTACAGTGCAGTAGCTGACCACAGATAATAGGGACAAGTTGTAGGGCAACTTTTGTCACTCCCAGGTGAATTTGATATAGGAGTATGGCTCATTGTAGTGGTGCAGTGCTGCTGACACAAAGTCTCTCTCCTGCATTGCACCACTGAGTGTCAAATTAGGATGTTCAATGCACAGCAGTTACAGTTGTAAAGCAAGTTTGACCTTAACTTGGTCATGCCATTAGAGGTTGGATAATCACAGCAACCACTTTGTTTTTAAAGACTAATTTATTCTTAGGAGACCATGTGTAGTCAGTGTTAGTCTTGTAAGTTTGGGAGTGCCATAGAAATCTTTCTCAGGGCATCACAGGCAATCGCTTGTTCACACCTTCTCAGAATAGTTGGATTTGTTAAAATTGCCGTGCAGACCTTTCTCCATTTCTGCTCTGCCGTGTTCAGTCTATGTCAGCATGATGACGCATCTGTTGCCACCAAACTGTCTGACTCCTGCTGATTCCTGTGAACAAATATTTTGACTGGGAAGTGGCTCAGTCATTCTTTCTGACCTCCAGTGCTATGACTACAGCCAAACAGTCCTCCATAGTCATTTCCTTCTGAGTCACAAGAGGAGCGCATTTAACCTGCAATTACAGTCCTTTTCCTGCATGTCAGCGTCGGTGAATTCGGGTGAAGGTCTGGGATGAGGTCAGCCAGCCATTTGTGGAGTACTGAAAGTAGGAAGTGTTAGTGACTCATAAAAAGGCCCTTTTTCATTTGTTTCACACCAGCAACAGCCTACTCTCATCTAAACACATTTAAAAACTTTCTTATTCATTCTGTGCAAATGCACAAAATTGCTTTTGAGCTCTCTCTTTTGAATGGATGTGCTTTTGTTTGTATGTTATGTATGCCTTAAGTGGTGTAGTCCGTAAGAAGCGGTTGATTCTCATTTGCGGGATTAACAGCAGCGTTGCTGATTTCTTCTGACACAGCTTTTGTTCCCCACAGGTGAACAGAAACAGCTCTTGACAATCTAAAATACTGTAAATGGAGGTGAGCTCACCCTCCTGTGTGGGCATTATGTGTAACAGCACACATTATCTGTTAATATTTTTGGACTGTCAGTTGAACCCCAACACACAAAAAAACCTTTTCTAAAAACTGCCATGATTGCCACAGTGGTTAGTGTTGTCTCTTCACGGCAAGAATGTCCTGGGTTTGAGCCGGGACCTCTCTGTGTGGAGTTCGTATGTTCTCCTTGTGCCTGTGTGGGTTCGAGCTGGGTGCTCCGGCCTCCTCCCACAGTCCAAAGACGTGCGACTTGGGTTGATTGGTGACTTGAGTGTAGGTTTGTGTGGTTGTTTGTCTCTAAGTGTCAGCCCTGTGATAGACTGGCGACCTGTCCAGGGTGTTTATCCCCCCACTCCTCCACCCCGGCCCTATTCAGGATAAGCATTATAGATGATGGATGGTGGGATGCAGTGATTGCACTGTATTGCCATTGAATCTCCGCCTATATGTGTAAAATGTTTTTTTTTTTTTTTTAAATGATTGTATCTACTGTGTACATTAAGTTTGTGTTTTGATGCCTGTAGATCAGGGATATATGAAAACAGTTTTTTGCTTCTCTTTTTGGGGGGAGTTTCACATCCGTTTCATTTTGCAGCATGAATTTGTTGGTCAGTTTGTGTGCATCATAGCCATACAGAAAGCCGATCACTGAATCCCTGCCAACAGTCACTGCGGAACATAAAACATAAGCTAGATGGACACGCTTGTTTTAGCAGGATTGTCTGTATCACATGTATCATTATTAATTAATTGTTGCCGGGTGGACTGGACACTGGCTTTTTAAGCAGGACATCGATAACATTGAACAACTGAACTTGGATTTCCTAATATTCAGGCCTTACTTTTGTACTATTCTGACACATGATGATAATAATAAACACTAAACTAAATCCATTTGCAAAGAGTGTTAGTTGGTTCTTCTTTCAGGGGAATTGTTAACACCTGAGGAGCCATAGTAATAGAACTTGGTGCTGACACATTGGCTTATTTTAGCAGCAAAAGCACAACAACAGGTGCCTCAGTAAGTCATTATAGTCATCACACTGTGCCAGGGCTGGAGCTGACTCACCCGAACTCAATCTAGTATATAAATGTTATCATTGGCGCCAGTGCTTTTCCTCCTGTGTCACATCAAGTTCTTAAGTTTCTTTCTCACAGAGAATATTATTTACACTATTGCTTCTCCAGCAGGACCAGCCTGGGAATTCAGATGGTGGATTTTTTTTTTTTTTCCCACCGGTTTGGTTTTCACCAGCACAGCGTGCGCTCTCATTAACTAAGAGGATGGCAGCTTGTTAAGAGGGTGCACAGGGATGAATTTCCACCTTGTACTGTACTGTTGAATTCCAAATATTCCAGAGGCTGAGCTGACACTTTGCTGCGACCTCTCGTCACAACATATCTGTATCTATGGGGCGTGACCAGTTCAACCAGTGGTAAAAAGTACTGTACATTAGTACAATGTTGAACTACTTGTACTATGAGTATTTAATTTTATGCTGTATTATACTTCTACATCACATTTCAGGGAGGGTAATATGTTTCACTCCACTGCATTTTATTTATTTATTTACAAAACATATGATGAACCTATATGATAAAATATATAGTAGGTAAAACGAGCTGAACCTTGGTCAACTGTAACGTTGTTATGCTGCTATAACACTAATAACACTTTGAAATGGGCAAAACGTCTATTGTCAGTTTAGTTATATTTTGCTAATGATACTAAAGTATCAAATGTAAAAGTACTGCATGTTTGAAAAATTGTCTACGTCAGGTTTATATTTTTATATAGGCTTTTATGTTATTGGACCATTGTCACTAAAGAATTAATGTGCTAGTAGTATTTTATTGTTGCAGGTGGTCAAGGTCCTGGTAATTTAGCCTGTTGTACAATTTGCTGGGTATTTTAAGCATTGTCATATTTGAGAGACGCACAAAGGTTGTTTTTTTTTTTAACTGAAGCCAGAATTGAAGTATAAAGCAGTATGAAATGAAAATACTCAAGTAAAATACAAGTATGTCAAGTATGTGTTTATATTCCACCACTCCAGCTGCCAGGTAAGTCTGTAGTTCATTTGTATTTATCTACATGTTATAGCAGCGACACCTAGAGGCCGTCCAGCGCTACTGCTGCACTTTGGCTGTTTACTGCACCGTAATGGAGAGAAACTGTACAATAAGTCCTCTAATCGCAGCGAAAGAGTTAAAAATCCACAATCCTATTGCAACCTCGGTGTGGTTATACTTTAATAGATTTAGACTCGTCACATGGTCGGAAATCAGCGCTTACACACCGGATAAGACACAACACATTTACCCCATGAGCTGGAGTGGAGATCTTCGAGCAGAGCAACATGGATTTTATGACGGATAGGGATGTGCAGAAGGTGAGCATCGCATGAAAAATTCTTTAAATGAAGCCACACTGAGCCGCTGCCTATTAATATCCTGCACTTAATGCTTTAATCTTAATCGCAAAAGTTTAAATGCAATAAAGTCAATTAAAAGAGGGAAACAGCACTGATGTAGGCTAGATGGTCATTTTTTTGCCAAAGTATCATAACCCTGCAGTATGTTTATATTTATGTGGTGCATGAAAGTATTTGTGCACATTTCAGGCTTATTATATAACATGCTGCAACAACAAGTGACGTGTCACATGCAGCCCTTGTGAACAAATGCCCTTTTTATTCTGCACCAGATCTGCCTTAAGAGTAAAATCTCCATGTGGACTTTAGAAATTAAAGAGCGCTGGTGAATACAGACAGGAGCCCGTCCTGAGACGACAGTAGACACCTTTCCTTTATAAAAAAAAAAAAAAACAGACTAAAAAGGACTGGAATCGATTTGTAGTGAGTTGATTATCAAAACAGTTTACGATTCATTTTATATTGATTGATTGTTGTAGCTTACTTTAATTGAGTAATTTAATTGAGCATACATGTAAATGCTAAAGAATTTTACCCCGTAGACTGGACTTAGAGTTGAGACAACAAATATCCTTCTACTACATGACTTGAATCTTTGTATGAATGTGGAAACAGACGTGCAAGGTCTTGAGTTGTCCATAATCCCTTTGGTCTTGTGAATTGTCTCCTCTCTCTCTCATTAGTATCTGGAGGATGGGTATGTGGTTCTGGACGGGCTGCTCACATCCCAGGAGTGTGATGAGCTGAGACAGAGGATGGCAGAGATAGTGGACCACATGGACGTGCCGGAGCACTGCCGCACAACCTTCTCTACCTATGACCAGCAGCACAAGGAACAGGTGACCCAGTGAACAGTGCAACAAGGGATCCATCTTTAACACTCACCGGTTAATTCAGCCTTATTTTCTCACATGCTTTTCATCATACTGGACTCAAAGATGCAAGTCATTTTTTCAGTTATGTTTATTATATGCATCGAGTCTGTGATCAGTCTGTAGACCTCTCCACTAAATCGGTGTTTACACTGAGCCAGTGTCCTTCCTCTCAGGCTAATCCCTAACTCTAATGTCAACAGTCTAGTCAGTGTCAGCAGAGTGTGTCTCCCACCTGCTTAATTCACTCATTCCCTTTTGACTTGCAGGGAAGCTCTGATTATTTCATCACCAGTGGAGATAAAATTAGCTTTTTCTTTGAGAAAGGAGTTTTTGATGACAAAGGTGAGCTCTCCTGAAATTCAGTATTTTATTTTTTACATCTCCAAATGCCAAATTAGATGTACAGAGCTTTTCTTGGCTTGCAGGGGAATTCATCGTACCAGTACAGCAGTCGCTGAATAAAGTTGGTCATGGTAAGATTACTAACAGGATGAGCACAGATCCTTCCGGTAGACCCTAATTAATGCCAGTTTTCTTCTCTTAGCACTGCATGCCTACGAGCCCTTACTCAAAAAGGTTACGCATTCGCCCAAAGTCCAGGTGAGAGAGCTGTTGAACAATATCAGAGAATGATGTCACAGATTGACCAAGACTTAACATCAGATGTTGTTCTCTCAGGGCATAGCTAAGAAGCTGGGTCTTGTAAGACCTGTGATACTGCAAAGCATGTACATTTTTAAGGTAAAGCATTAAACACTATCGGTCTATGAAACGTCTCCTTGTGTTGCGTGAAATTACTCAAGAACTCTGGAATAAAATCATCATATTTCCTTCTTCCCTCCAGCAACCGGGGATCGGTGGGGAAGGTGAGATGGTGAAACTAATTACAAAATAGACATTTGTATGAAAGATTTATGTTATAAACATGTTTTCCATAAACTATCTCTGCAGCAGATTCTTGTCTGTTTCTCAGTGACACCTCACCAAGATGCCACATTTCTGTACACTGAGCCGCTGGGCAGAGTTATGGGGCTGTGGATCGCCCTGGAAGATGCTACTGTCGACAACGGCTGTTTGTGGTTCATCCCGGGGTCACACAACAGTAAGCTCACAATCCTACAGGACCCTATCTATGACTGGTTCAACAGGACAAACTCAGCTTATTATGACAGTAGTCACCCAGCCACTATCATACCACAGGGTCTTTACATGTAGCACTCCTCTCCTTTTGCCAGGTGGGATTTCTCGCCGTATGGTTCGAACCCCGAAGGGCACCGTTCCCCTGACGGCCTTCATCGGTCGACAGAAGAACTATGAAGAGGAGAAGCTTGTTGCCGCACCAGTCAAAAAAGGTAATTCACTTGCTTCCCAAATTTAAGTGTGTAAATGACTGGTGACTGTGAAGTGAAGATATACTGGGGATGTTTAGTATCTGACATGATGAAAATACATCAGAGGCTTTTGTCACGCATTTAGATACCAAATATTTATATGCATTAAAATATATGCACAAAGTGGAATGCTGAAAGAATAGATTTTTTAAAGGAACAGTCTGACATTTTTAGAAAAATGCTCATTCACTTTATTGCTGAGAGACAGAGACACAGAGAGAGAGATAGGGAGAGAGAGGTGAAATTGTGTCCTTCCAGTAAAAATGTAAAGCAAATGTTGTAAACAGTATGTAAATCAAGGAACAAACAATATAACAGAATGGACCTGTGCAACATAAATACGTACTCCTTGTACCTTTTTTATGAGTGCCTATCCTCTAATTGTCCAATTAAATAGCCAATAAAAAGGGAAATGAGAGGGGAACTGTATGGGTCCATGGAAGGCGGGGTAGGTTGGCCAGACGAGCACTCATCCTGCATATAAATGACACCCTGTAAAAAATGCTGCTATGTGGATTTATACCTCTGGACAGAGCCAAGCTGCTTGTTTCCCCAGGTTTTAGCTTCATGTTTACCATACAGACATTAGAGTGGTGTCAAGTCTCAGCAAGAAAAAGAAAACGTGTTATTCCAATAATATAATCATATTTGTTTAAATTAACAGAAAATGAATCTGCAACTATTCCGATAGCAAATTCAGCTTCTAGCTCCAGATGCATGAGGGTTTGCTGTTTTTATATTGTTGTAAATTGAATGTTGTTGGGTTTGACAGTAATCAGGATAAAAGCCACGTGAAGATGCCACCTTGGACAATTGTGACAAGCATTTTTCAGTTTTCTGATGATTGATAGACAAAACAAACTTTAAAATACTCAGATTAACTGGTAACAAAAACAGCCTTAGTACTATATTGCCAAATCGAGCTGTGAGAGCTGGTCAGCCTCCACCTGTCTCCCTGTGTTCAGGTGCTATAGTCCTGATCCATGGTGAAGTGGTACATCGCAGTGCTGAAAACACATCCAAAGACTCTCGCCATGTCTACGCCTTCCACATCATGGAATCCCAGGACACCCGCTGGAGCCCTGACAACTGGTCAGTTTACAGGAGTTTGTGGCTTTCTTGTGCTTATATTGCTTCTGTTTTTTTAGCTTAGACAGGTGTTTCCAGCAGACATCTGTCGGTCAGCATGTAGACGGACGGATGAAATTAAGTGCTGAAATACTAATGTGACACTATTAAGTACATTTTGAGAGAAGAAATAAGGCTTTTTTTTTTTTTTTACAGATGCAAATTATAAATTAAAAGTCACATAAGCCAAGTTTGAACCACAGTTCTATCTCTTTGGTCCTTAAAGGTTGCAGCCCACTGAAGAGCTCCCTTTCCCGCCTCTCTACTCAAAATGAAGCTCGTCTTTCCTGCAGTCCACGGGGAGACACAAGATTCTTTCTCATCTGAAAAAGGGCCAGTGTGTATGAAATGTGTTAACCAGAACGAATGTGCTGCAGTTTGTCATGGCTGTTTTGTATCATATGACACCAACTGTTTCACTGGGCTACATGTAGACAGCAAAGTCAGTGTAGGATAAATTGTTACTAATTCACGTTTTCAGTGAATATATCAATAATTTTACATGACAGTTTTTTAAACATAATTATTTACAATAAAATTAATTTGGATAAACATTAGGTTTCTGATCAACTGATATTTTATTCAGTCACCTGCCAGCAGTATTCTTTTTTTTTTTTTTTTACAAACGGTGTATGTTCATTTTAAGATGCAACCTAAATGTGAAAAAACCCAACCTAACAAAGTACAAGTGATTTTAAACCAAGAAGGGTTCATGTTGATGTCAAAGTGCAGCCACTCAGGTCCCTCATCCTAGTCGTCGATGAAGTTGTAAACAAATGGACATAAAATATGAGGCATATCAATGAAATCTTTTCCCTGATGCACTCAACATGCAATGTTACACTGTTAAAACTTTAATGATGGCAAAAACAAACTACTAGGATCATGCTAATAAATATCATCACAACATAAAACACACAGAGAAACATTTACATGATTCATGATCATAAATT